ATAGGAATTCCCAACATTATCTCCTGTTATTTTTTTTGGTGATAGTAATATTTATTTATTATTATCATGCAACAAATTTCGATGAAAATTGATGTGAAATTATAATTTCATCCTTGGTTCAAAAGATAATATTAAAGGTTTCCAAATTTGTTTTTATCTTAATTCGTGTATAAATATATTATAATATGTTAAAATATATTGGGGAAAAATATGGGAATTATGGTTCAAAGACTCGAGAAATTTTCATGTTCTTGCAATAGTGATAGTCACAAATAGCCTTTAAATAAGGTGGACAAACTTAATGGAAATGCAAAATATTCAATCAATTACAATAGAAAGTACACTTATCCTTCGATTTACAAGATAGATAGGTTCCTGTGATAAATTTATAACACGAAATTGTAACTTTTTAATGTAAATCGAAAAGTATGCAAAAAAAATACGCATAATTTCGTTGTTTATTAATTATGATTTTTATTTTTCTATTATTTTTTAAGGTACATAAATCAAGAAAAACTATTGAACGGCAAGAAAAATGTTTCCTTTTGATCATAGCATGTTTATTTTCAACATTTATTTTTTCAATTTAATTTAAAATCGTGTAAAAAAGTATCGTGTAAAACGAGGGATAGGTGTACTTTTTTAATTTCTCGAATCCCGAGAATTCCCGGAAATGCCTAATACAGTTGTCTCATGTCCCGGGAATCAAAAACATAGTATCATGATGCGAATATATTCGTCATAAGCAATAAATCAAGCAATGGCTTTGGGAGAGACTGCAAGGGTGTTAGAGAGAGAGAGAGAAGCGAGGTGTTCGACTGACGCCCCAAAAATTTCAAACAGAAGTTCACAAAGAAGTGTACATGCATATCTACATCTCGGAGAAGGGAGATGGCGCCGCAAACACACTCATTTAACTTTTATCAACCTTAGAATGTATGCCGAAATAAATTAGAAAAGATAATAATAGAAAGTTGAAAATAAACATCAGTGACTTACGTTTAAATTAGGGTTTCTTAACCGGGAATTCCCGGGAATTTTGGAAAAATATAGGAATTCCCAACTTTATCTCCTGTTATTTTGTTTGGTGATAGTAATATTTATTTATTATTATCATCTAAAATGTGCAACAAATTTCGATGAAAATTGATGTAAAATTATAATTTCATCCTTGGTTCAAAAGATAATATTAAAGGTTTCCAAATTTGTTTTTATCTTAATTCGTGTATAAATATATTATAATATGTTAAAATATATTGGGAAAAATATGGGAATTATGGTTCAAAAACTCGAGAAATTTTCATGTTCTTGCAATAGTGATAGTCACAAATAGCCTTTAAAAAAGGTAGACAAACTTAATGGAAATGAAAAATATTCAATCAATTACAATAGAAAGTACACTTATCCTTCGATTTACAAGATAAATAGGTTCCTGTGATAAATGCGTAATACGAAATTGTAACTTTTTTTAATGTAAATCGAAAAGTATGCAAAAAAAATACGCATAATTTCGTTGTTTATTAATTATGATTTTTATTTTTCTATTATTTTTTAAGGTACATAAATCAAGAAAAACTATTGAAAGGCAAGAAAAATGTTTCCTTTTGATCATAACATGTTTATTTTCAACATTTATTTTTTCAATTTAATTTTAAATCGTGTAAAAAAGTATCGTGTAAAACGAGGGATAGGTGTACTTTTTTAATTTCTCGAATCCCGAGAATTCCCGGAAATGCCTAATACAGTTGTCTCATGTCCCGGGAATCAAAAACATAGTATCATGATGCGAATATATTCGTCATAAGCAATAAATCAAGCAATGGATTTGGGAGAGGCTGGAAGAGTGTTAGAGAGAGAGAGAGAAGCGAGGTGTTCGACTGACGCCCCAAAAATTTCAAACAGATAAGTTCACAAAGAAGTGTACATGCATATCTACATCTCGGAGAAGGAGATGGCGCCGCAAACACACTCATTTAACTTTTATCTACCTTAGAATTTATGCCAAAATAAATTAGAAAAAATAATAATAGAAAGTTGAAAATAAACAGCAGTGACTTACGTTTAAATTAGGGTTTCTTAACCGGGAATTCCCGGGAATTTTGGAAAAATATAGGAATTCCCAACATTATCTCCTGTTATTTTTTTTTGGTGATAGTAATATTTATTTATTATTATCATCTAAAATGTGCAACAAATTTCTATGAAAATTGATGTAAAATTATAATTTCATCCTTGGTTCAAAAGATAATATTAAAAGTTTCCAAATTTGTTTTTATCTTAATTCGTGTATAAATATATTATAATATGTTAAAATATATTGGGAAAAATATGGGAATTATGTTTCAAAGACTCGTGAAATTTTCATGTTCTTGCAATAGTGATAGTCACAAATAGCCTTTAAATAAGGTAGACGAACTTAATGGAAATGCAAAATATTCAATCAATTACAATAGAAAGTACACTTATCCTTCGATTTACAAGATAGATAGGTTCCTGTGATAAATGCGTAATACGAAATTGTAACTTTTTTTAATGTAAATCGAAAAGTATGCAAAAAAAATACGCATAATTTCGTTGTTTATTAATTATGATTTCTATTATTTTTTAAGGTACATAAATCAAGAAAAACTATTGAAAGGCAAGAAAAATGTTTCCTTTTGATTATAGAATGATTATTTTCAACATTTATTTTTTCAATTTAATTTAAAATTGTGTAAAAATGTATCGTGTAAAACGAGGGATAGGTGTACTTTTTTAATTTTTCAAATCCCGGAATTGCCTTATATAGTTGTCTCATGTCCCGGGAATCAAAAACATAGTTTATATATTTATTTATGATATATATTTTTTTGTGTGACTTTGAAATGGGTTTGGTTTTCTTCGGCGCGTTGAAAGTTTAAAAGCATTTATATCAATACCAGTTGTAAAACGCACCTGGTGGTCGCCGCCGCCGCTTGGAAAACGGAAAAGAAAACGTCGAGGAAATGCTTAAATCTACGGCGCACTCGCACGCCCCTGCCGAAGTGCTAAAGTTTGCAATTTAAGATCCTTCCTTCTACCTCTCTCTCTCTCTTTTTCCTACACCAGCGCACACACATACACATATTGAGACGTACACTATTTCTATTTTACAAATAGTTTAGAGAAAAACGAATATAGCAGAAACGAAATGGATGTAAAGAGCAGAGTAGAGTAGAAATACGAATCGCATGACAGTCGCGCGAACTATTTGAAATATTTGACGCTAGTCGGCCGCAATTTACAATGTGGCTTTCGAATTTTCCCCCCGAAAACCGCAGCAATATGATTGCTTGCATTCGTGTACGAAACTCATTACAATTTTGTTTCGATTCTAAAATGTATATTTCACCTATTGAAATTATTTGTGGATGCGCCTGGTTATTACTCACAGAAAATATTCTATATACAAAACAGTTTTAAAGAAGTTTTTTAGAAGAAGTCTTTATACCCAAAAACGTTCATATTCGTTGTTTCAAATAGTCTTATAACTTTTAAAATACACTATGGATTATCAAAGAGAAAGCTTTACATAAAGCTTATTTGTACCAAAGTATTTTGTGAAGAATAAAAAATAAATTTTATTACCCTCAAAAAAAATTAAGAGGGATTGAAGTTGAAAAATTTAGAAAATTATTTTCTAAACCAAAGGTGATATACTAATTCTACTTAAGCTATTTAATTATATCATCTATTCTAAGAATCTTACTAAATTTCATCAAAATCTATTGAATAATTTAGAATATATGATGTTTCGATACTAAAATGTATATTTCACCTATTGAAATTATTTGTGGATGCGCCTGGTTATTACTCACAGAAAATATTCTATATACAAAGCAGTTTTAAAGAAGTTTTTTAAAAATTGTTTTCATATCAATGTGAATGCTTTAACAAACAAATGACAGCAGTCAAAATTCGTCAATGAAATTACATGCCTTTTACTAATATAATTTATATAATAATGATTGTTGTGATTTGAATAAGTTTTATGTTGAAAAGTAGTTTTTGACGTTAATATAAGCCTCACCTGTAGTTCGATACTCAAACTGTCCACGGCAAGAGCTTAACACTATGCAACAACTGATTGATGTCATTGACGGCATTGTTTTACAATCGAGATAAACACATGATCCATCCAAATGTCACTGTTGTACCAATCCACACATACAAAATAAAAAAAATCACTGTTAATCGAAATAATCCACACACACTTTTATTAAATATAGTAAAATTTAAATAATTGTTATTAAATACATACAAATTTTTACGGAGTTTTATTAATACATGGTTTTTCATAATCAAATTATTTCGAAACGTCAGTTTATACCAATCTATTAAAAAAAAAATCACTATTAATCCAAAATATGCATTAAAATTTTATACAAAAACTAAATTTATTAATTCTTCTAGTGACCAGGTTTTTTGTCGCTAGCGTATCATGATGCGAATATATTCGTCATAAGCAATAAATCATGACGAATATATACGACATAACCACTTATGGTGCTAACACATTTTATGCTCATAAAACTATTAAATTTAATGAACTTACTAGATGATTTATAATGTTTACTATTCCATCAATAACTTTTATAACTCGAGTTTATTTTCATAATAAATCCTAGCATCGATTAATTCGAAATTACCTTTACGTGTCTTCGCGTAACGCTATAAAAATATATTTTCAAATTAAAATTTAATCACGGATTTGTTTGGCTTCGTTTCGAGGTCGTGTAATTCGTAATCTGCGGAGGTTCCGGGATTGGATTAAACTGCAATTAGCGCATGGTGCAGTTCCATTCCGCTTTTCCGTGTTTTCTTTTTTTCGGATGTCCGTGCCCATCTCGGTCGCATCTGCAGGAAGTGTGTTACAACATCCACACGCAAATGCACGTGTGCAATTCTCTGTTGGATGTGTGTGTGTTTATGTATGTGTAACCTCTGACCGTAACCGTTTGGTTTTGTGTGTCCACAGGAACCGGAAGTGGTGCGATGTAACAACCGCAGCGATAATTTTCCCAGCAATGGACGTCCGATGGTCCCCCTTTCGTTCCTTCACGCCGCAGCTGATGGCAGTTTTGGTCGTCGTCTTTGCTGCTCTCGTACCAAGAACGGACACCTTCAAGCAGCAAGGTAAGAAAGAAAGAAATCTACAACCTATTATTTCTAAAAATTTAGTAAATTGTGAAGAATCTTTATTTCAATTGGAAAATTTCTAATTAAAAATAATCTATATATTATTACAAATTTTTCAATATATTTTAACTTATTAAAATTATATTATTATTATAATATATTACACGAATTAAGATAAAAACAAATTTGGAAACCTTTAATATTATCTTTTGAACCAAGGATGAAATTATAATTTTACTTGGGCTATGTATTCATTCCAATTTTCATCGAAATTAGTTGCACATTTTAGAAGATAATAATAAATAAATATTACAATCCCCAAAAAAAAATTAACAGGAGTTAAAGTTAAAAAATTTAGAAAATTATTTATTAAACCAAAGATGATATACTAATTCTACTTAAGCTATTTAATTATATCATCTATTCAAAGTAATCTTACAAAATTTCATTGAAATGTGTTGCACAATTTAGAAGATATGATTATTTTTGTCGAATAAAAACGTATTTCTTTATACCGAAAAACGTTCATATTCGTTGTTTCAAATAGTCTTATTTTATCAAAGAGAAATCTTTACATAAAGCATATTTGTACCAAAGTATTTTGTGAAGAATAAAAAATAAATTTTATTACCCTCAAAAAAAATTCAGAGGGGTTGAAGTTGAAAAATTTAGAAAATTATTTTTTAAACCAAAGATGATATACAAATTCTACTTAATCTAATTAATTATATCATCTATTCTAAGTAATCATACAAAATTTCATCAAAATGTGTTGCACAATTTAGAAGATATGATTATTTTTGTCAAATAAAAATATATTTATTTGCACCCAAAAACTTTCAAATTCGTTGTTTCCAATAGTCCTATAACTATTAAAAGGCGCTTTGGATATACAAAACGAAAGCTTTATATGAATTGTATTTGTGCTTAAGTAATTTTTAGAGAAAATAAATTTTACTACCCTCAAAAAAAATTCAGAGGGGTTGAAGTTGAAAAATTTAGAAAATTATTTTTTAAACCAAAGATGATATACTAATTCTACTTAAGCTATTTAATTATATCATCTATTTTAAGTAATCATACAAAATTTCATCGAAATGTGTTGCACAATTTAGAAGATATGATTATTTTTGTCAAATAAAAATATATTTATTTGCACCCAAAAACTTTCAAATTCGTT